CAGCTCAGGGGAGATTCGCCGCGGGGTCAGGCACGACTCCTTTGTGGGCCCCGGAAACGGCAGGACCGTTTTTTCACCGTTTCCCACAAAAATGTTCCTTGAAAATGGAAACAGCAAAAAACGGCAACCGGAAACGGCAAAAAAACGGCTCCAGGATTGGAACCGGAGCCGGAACCGGTCAAAAAACGGCGACGGAACCGGTAAAAAAACGGCGTCGGAACCGGCAAAAAAACGGCAGAACGGAACCGGTAAAAAAACGGCCCTCTGTCGTTTCCAGGGCCCACCAAGGGCACGACATGCCCTGCCTCGACCAAGTTTGCGCTGCTACCTGCGGCGCCTGTCTGCGCTGCCTACTCGGCGAGCGTGCGCCTCATTCCCACAGTGAGCACGGAGGCAGCAGCCGCGGTGTTCTGCCTTGGAGGGCCTCCGAGGAAATCCTCCTCCTCCTTCTCCTCCCTTCTGTTTTTTTTTCGACGCGCTACACTCCTCCTCGCTCTCTCCTCTCTCCCCCCTTCGTTTCTTCCTCGTCTCCCCGCGCGCGCGCGGCCGCCAGCGGTCCAGTGCCTCCGCGAGAGGGTGGTTGGATGCCTTCTGTCAAGGGAACGTTGCAAAGAGGGCCCCGTGGCAGGAGGAGTGCACACACACACACACACATCGCCCTGGAGTCGCAGGGTTGTTTCAACCACCGAGGCATTCCTATCTTCGCGCTGCCTATATCCTTCCACATTCGGGAGATGCTACAGCCAGGGGCAACGGAGTGGGCCGGAAGGCAGTGAGGGTGGAGTCCAAGGCCGCCTTCAGGGCCTGTCCGCTTCTGAACGCCAGAGCCCGCCTGCGCGCCTCCTCGATGTCCTATCGACGCGAATAGCCCACGTCTGCTCTTTTTTCTCGTCCGCTCTCCTTCTCTTCGTCCTCCTCCTCATCCGCCTCTTGCTGACGCTGATGCTGATGTTGACGCTGTCGCTGAAGCTGATGGCATCTGACTTCCCAGGTATGCTGTCATCCCAACCCCTCAGGGGCGGCCGCCACTTGGTGGGTGGGTGATCAAAGAGAGCTTGTAGAATAGGAAAAATGACCAAATAATCAACAACAAACAACGGAAATACCATATGGAGGATCCCCCGCGGGGCGAGGTAATTGTCAATTTCCCTCAACGGCCCCGCGGGGGGCGGGAGGGGAGGGGACGGCAGAACCGCGGAGGCGATATAGCGACAATCCTCCTCCTCCTCCTCCTCCTCCTCCTCCTCCTCCTCCCCCTCCTCCTCCTCCTACTCCTCCTCCTCCTCCTTCTCCTCCTCCTCCTCCTCCTCCTCCTCCTCCTCCTCCTCCTCCCTTCCTCCTCCTCCGCCTCCTCCTTCTGCCTCCTCCTCCTCTTCCTCCTCCTCCTGCCTCTCCCCCCCCTCCTCTTCCTCCTCCTCCTCCTCCTCCTCCTCCTCCTCCTCCTTCTCCCTCTGCCTCTCCCCCCCCCCCATCCCTCAGGTTCCCGCACTCGGCCGTGCGGCGCCGAGGCGTCTTTCGGCACTCCACACCTCTGAGGAGCCGCCAGATGCTGTCCGACCGCCGCAAACGCACCAGCGACGCCGACGCGTGCGTTCAAGGTGGAATGCTACCCGAGCTAGTGGATGGCTCGCCAGGAGGAGGAGGAGGAGGAGGAGGAGGAGGAGGAGACCTGCATAAGCAGGCTCCGGGCTTTCACAGGGCCTTTGGGGCGCAACGACAAATTGTTGCCATGGTCGAGGGGAAGAAACAAAAAACAAAACAAGACAACAAACAATCGTTGAATGCCACCGGAACAACAACAAAACATAGCATTACAAATGTTGCATGCCACCAGCGGTCTGAGCCCAGGGCATCCTCAGAGACCCATCAGGACCAGGACCCCCAAAGCCTGCCGGCACCTTCCAAAACCTGAAGGTGTTCCAAGAATCTCCTGGGCATTTGATCCTCGATCCTCAGGAGGAGCTGGCGACCCTTTCAGTGGTGACCCCCATTAGCATTGCTTGGGCACTTCCTTGGCTCTGGAAACGACGGGGCAACTTCTTTTCGAGTCCCGTTTTGCTTTGTTTTGTTGCTTGCTCTCCAGCGCCGTTGTGTTGCCGGTTCCGTTCCAGTGCCAATCTGGGAGCAGTTGTTCTCCCGTTTCCACGCTCTTCTTTGTACCGTTTCATTTTCCAGAGACAGCTTCTGGAGCACAGCTGAACAGATGCGCTGCTGCTTCCTCCGGTGCCAATCTGGGAGCAGTTGGTTTCCCGTGTACGCGCTCTTCTCCGTACCGCTTCATCTTCAAAAGAAAGCCTCTGGAACACAGCGGCTATCCTCCTCCTCCTCCTCCTCCTCCTCCTCCTCCTCCTCCTCCTCCTCCTCCTCTTCCTCCTCCTCCCCCTCCTGCGCTGCCGCTGCCCCCAGGAACGCAGCAGAAGGCACGAGGAGGGGGGGGGGGCTTTTGTCGAGCCACGGCGAGCCTCGGCCACGAGCCGGCTCCCCCTGGCCGGAGTTCCGAGGAGCGGGGCGGAGATGACGTCGGAGCCCACTTTGGGCACGGGGTGGTCCTCGCGCACTCCCGCGTATCAGCATCATCAGCATCAGCATCAGCATCAGCATACTCATCATCCTCATCATCCTCACCACCGTCACCATCATCATCAGCATCATCATCATCATCATCATCATCGGCATCATCGACATCAACATTACCATTATCATCATCAGCAGCAGCAGCACCGTCATTATTAGTGTCATCGCCATCATAACCATTTGTCATCATCATCAGCGGCATCAGCATCAGCATCATCAGAATCATCATCAACATCATCAGCAGCAGCGGCATCCTCACTCTCATTGTCATGGCCGTTATCATCACCAGCTGCAGCACCATTCTCATTGCCCCTCTCATCAGCATCATCATCAGCATAAGCAACAGCATCATCAGCAGCATCAGCATCATCATCATCAGCATGTCTCGTCATCGTCATCGTCATCGTCACCAGCACAATCCCCACCATCATCATCATCATCATCATCATCATCATCATCAACAACACCAACATCAGCAGCAACATCAACACCAACATCAGCATCGTCATCAGCCTCGGCAGCAGCGTCATTACGATTGCAATCAGCGTCAGCATCATCAACATCAACATCATCATCGTCATCATCAGCGTCGTCAGCATCAGCATAATCAAAATAGCCATCATCACCCTAATCATCATCATCACCATCACCAACACCACCATCTTCATCATCATCAGCAGCAGCAGCACCTGCATCATCATAATCATCATCAGCAGAAGCAGCATCGTCACCACCACCACCACCACCGTAGTCATCATCTTCATCTTCATCCGTATCATCACCATCATCATCACCATCGTCATCATCAATATCAGCATCATCATCGGCATCGTCATCGTCATCATCATCACCACCATCGTCATCATCCTTACCACGATCATCATCATCATCATCAGCAGCATCAGCATCATCATCATCATCATCATATTATAACCATCATCATCAGCCTCATCACCATCATCAACGACAACGTCACCGTCAACGTCAACGTCGTCGACATCATCCTCCTTCTCCTTTTACTCCTCCTCCTCCTCTTCCTCCTCCTGCTCCTACTCCTCATGCTCCTATTCCTGCTCCTCCTCCTCATCGTCATGATCATCATCATCGTCATCATCATCATCATCATCATCATCATCATCATCATCATCATCATCATCATCATCATCATAAGCATCATCATCATAATCAGCATCATCATCAGCATCATCAGCAGCATGGTAATCATCGGCACCAGCATCACCATCATCATCAGCAGCAGCATCATATGTTTAGTGTCATCGCCATCGCAACCAGTTACAATCATCATCAGCATCATCAGCATCAGCATGACGGCATCCTCACTCTCAGTGTCATAGCCATTATCATCATCAGCAGCACCACCATTCGCATTGCCACTCTCATCAGCATCATCAGCAGCAGCATAAGCAACAGCATCATCAGCAGCATCAGCATCATCATCGTCATCACCATACCTCGTCATCGTCATCGTCACCAGCACAATCCCCACCATCATCATCACCATCATCATCACCATCAACAACAACATCAGCAGCAACATCAACACCAACATCAGCATCGTCATCAGCCTCGGCAGCAGCGTCATTACCAATGTCGTCATCATCATCAGCATCAGCATCATCTGCAGCATCATCACCGTCATCATCGTCATCATCAGCGTCGTCAGCATCAGCATAATCAACATAACCATCATCACCCTAACCATCATCATCACCATCACCAACATCACCATCATCATCATCATCATCATCATCAGCAGCAGCAGCATTAGCAGCAGCATCGGCACCACCACCATCACCACCGTAATCGCCATCATCTTCATCCGTATCATCACCATCGCCATCATCTTTACCACCATCATCCTCATCATCGGCATCATCAGCATCATCATCATCATCATCATCAGCATCATCATCATCATCACCATCACCATCATCATCATCATCATCATCATCATCATCATCATCATCATCATCATCATCATCCTCATTATTCAACGACAATGTCACCGTCAACGTCAACGTTGTCGACGTCCTCCTCCTCCTTCTCCTCCTCCTCTTCCTCCTCCTGCTCCTGCTCCTGCTCCTGATCCTCCTCCTGTTCCTCCTCCTCATCCTCATCCTCATCCTCCTTCCCCTTCTCCTTATCCTCCTCCGTCTCCTCCTCCTCCTCCTCCTCATCCTCCTCCTCCTCCTCCTCTTCCTCCTCCTCAGCAGCAGCAGCAGCATCATCCGACTCCTCGTCATGACATCCCCCTGTTGTCCCTTCCTCCTCCGCCTCCGCATCCTCAAGCCTCCTCCTCCTGCTCCTCCTCCTCCTCCTCCTCCTCCTCCTCCTCCTCCTCCTCCTCCTCCTCCTCCTGGCCCTCGTCGCCTGCATCCCTCCTCCCTGCCGCCCTCGCCCGCCAGGCCCTGGGCATCCAGGAGCTCTGGCTCGTGCCCCCGCCGCCGGGCGCCAGGTACAAGGCCGCCCTGGGCGTGCGCTCCCGGCACGCCTCGCGGGGCGCCGAGAGGCCCCTCGCCCCCTGCAGGGGAGGGGGGGGGGCTCGAACACGCACAAATGGAAGGATTCCCCCATATTCTCCCATATTTTCTGGGTGTTTGTCTTCCCCATCCACTTCCCATAGTTTCCCATATTTTCTTGGGGATCGACGATGAATCGTGTCTGTGTGTGTTTTTCCCCCTCCTGAAGGGGGGGGGGGGCTCGAGGGGTCGATGGGGGGTCGAGGGAGGTCGAGGGGGGTCGAGGGAGGTCGAGGGAGGTCGAGGGCTCGAGGGAGGTCGAGGGACATCGAGGGTCGAGGGAGGTCGAGGGGCGAGGGCTCGAGGAGGGGGCTGGTGGGGTCGAGGGGTCGAGTGTCGAGGGGTCGAGGTTCGAGGGCTCGAGGGAGGTCGAGGGAGGATCGAGGGTCGAGATCGAGGTCGAGGGAGGATCGAGGGTCGAGGGAGGATCGATGGTCGAGGTCGAGGTCGAGGGAGGCCGAGGGTCGAGAGGCAGCGGATGGGCCGATTAATTTTGAGTGGAAATCGACGGGGAGGGAGGAGGAGCCCTCGAAGGTGTTTTGCGTAGTTTGTCTACAGTTTTCGAGGGCTCCTGGGAGTTTGGGGCCTCCTCCTCCTCCTCCTCCTCATCCTCATCCTCCTCCTCCTCCTCCCCCTCCTCCTCCTCCTCCCCTCCTCCTCCTCCTCCTCCTCCTCCCTCCTCCTCCTCGTCCCTCCTCCTCCTCCTCCTCCTCCTCCTCGTCCTCTTCCTCCTCCTCCTCCTCCTCCTCCTCCTCCTCCTCCTCCTCCTCCTCCTCCTCCTCCTCCTCCATTCCTTTTCCATATCAATAACTTCTCCGTGTCGCACCCCGAGGCTAGTTTTTAGGGCGGTCCAGCGTTTCGCTTGAGACTTCCTCACCATTTATGACCTTGAAGCTTAAACGTTGACAGCAGCTTCACAGATGGAGGGCGGGTCGTTTTCAATATGTGGCTCTCGCTTTAGCCGCGGACATTCGTTTTTTTTTGGGGGGGGGGAAAGGGTTTCACGGATTGAGGGCGGGTGGTTTTCAACATGTGGTTCTCGCCTTAGCGCCGCGCGCATTCGTTTTACAAATTGCGAGAGTTTCACAGAGTGAGAGCGGATGTGTTCCAAAATGTAGTTCTCGCCTTAGGGCCGCGTGCATTCGTTATTAGCATGCAAGAATTGCACGGATTCCCATGATCAGCGTACGAGAAGTCGTGTTTTGGAAGGGTTCAGGATTATGAGAGTGACGTTGATTCGCTGTGTTGCAGTCCCAGGAACGGTGTTCTGGCACGGTTCAAGACCGTCAAGACGCAACAGTCAGGTTGACCCGTGGCGTTGGAATCCCGACAACAATGTTTTTGCATGCTTCAAGGTCTTCAAACGGTTGTCTTTCAGCGAGGCAGTTCCGTGTGGAAGTGAACCGTTGTAGGGGCCTATGAAGAGGGAGCTTGGAGGGAAGGTGTATTCCAACATCGTTGATGACTCTTGGGTTCTCACTGTTCCTCCTCCTCCTCCTCCTCCTCCTCCTTCACCTCCTCCTCCTCCTCCTCCTCCACCTCCTCCTCCACCACCTCCCCCTCCCCCATCCTCCTGCTCCTCCTCCTCCTCCTCCTCCTTCTCCTCCTCCTCCCCTCCTCCTCGGCCTCCTCCTTCCTCCTCCTCCTCCTCCTCCTCCTCCTCCTCCTCCTCCTCCTCCTCCTCCTCCTCCTCCTCCTCCTCCTCCTCCTCGTGCTCATCATCATCATCATCATCATCATCATCATCATCATCATCATCATCATCAGCAGCAGCAGCAGCAGCAGCATCATCATCATCATCGTCGTCGTCGTCATCATCATCAGCATCAGCATCAGCATCATCATCAGCATCAGCATCAGCATCATCCTCATCATCATCGTCATCATCATCATCAGCATCAGCATCAGCATCATCATCATCAGCATCATCATCATCATCATCATCATCAGCATCATCATTATCATCATCATCATCTTCATCATCAGCAGCAGCATCGGCATCATCGGTATCATCAGCATCATCATCGTCATCAGCATCATCATCATCATCATCATCATCATCATCATCATCATCATCATCATCATCATCGCACCCTCATCCTCATCCTCATCCTCATCCTCCCCCTCTTCTCATCCTCATCCTCATCCTCTTTCTCCTCCTGTTCCTCCCCCCTCCCTCCTCACCCTCCCTCCCTTTCCTCCCTCTATCCCTCCTGCCCTGCTTCCCTCCGGTCATCCCTCCCTCCTCCTGTCCTCCCCTCCGCAGGTTCCTCACCGTGCGCCGCGTGGGCTCGCCGGCGGACGTCGCCGCGGCCTGCCAGGAGGAGGGCCGGGAGTTGTGGGTCTCCTATTGCCCGCCGGGCGGCACCGAGGAGCCGTGTCGTCAGCAGCGTCGTCAGCAGCAGGGAGGAGGAGGAGGGGGAGGAGGAGGAGGACGAGGAGGAGGAGGAGGAGGACGAGGAGGAGGAGGAGGAGGACGAGGAGGCGGAAGAGGAGGAGGAGGAGGAGGAAGAGGAGGAGGAGGAGGAGGACGAGGAGGAGGAGGAGGAGGAGGAGGAGGAGGAGAAGGGGGGGCAGGAGAAGGAGGGGAAGGAGGAAGAGTGGGAGGGGACAGGAGAGGAGGTGAGGCGATACCGCTACCGTTCCGTCGTCACCACGATTGTATTCGCTTCGAAGTCTCAGTCAGAACGCACCCCATGAGAAGTCTGGGGAGTAGCGGCATCTGTATCTCGTTCTTCCCTCAAGGAAGGGAAGGGGATGGGTGAGGAGGCAGGAGGGGAGAGGAATGAAGGAGGAGGGGGAGGAGGCGGACCAGAAACCCAAGAGTCATCAACGATGTTGGAAGGAACCCTCCCTCCAAGCTCCCTCTTCATAGGCCCCGGCAACGGTTCATTTCCATTGAGGGAGCTGCCTCGTTGTAAGACAACAGTTTGAAGATCCTGAAGCGTGCAAAAACATTACTCGGGATTTCCACGCTACGTATCAACTTGACTGCTGCGGCTTGACGATCCAGAATCGTGCCAGAACGCAGTTATGAGGACTTCAACACAGCGAATCAACAGAACCGATGCGCCCGCATAATCGTGAACCCTTCCAAACCACCTTTTCTGGTACGCTGATCATGGGAATCCGCGGAACCCTTGCAAATTTTAAGAACGAATGCGCGCGGCGCGAAGGCGAGAGCCACATTTTGAAACAGAACCTCCCTCAATCCGCGAAACTCTTGCAAATGTTGAAAACGAATGTGCGCGGCGCTAAGATTAGAGCCACATTTTGAAAACCACCCGCCCTCAATCCGTGAAGCTCTTGCAAATTTGTAATGCGAATGTCCGCGGCGCTAAGGCGAGAGCCACATTTTGAAAAACACCCTCCCTCCATGTTTGCCTCTGCTGTCACCTTTTAAGCGCCAGAGTCATGAACGGTGAGGAAGTCCCAGGCGAAACGCCCGGCCCGCCCTAAAAACTGATTCCGGGGTGCGACAGGGAAGAGTTATCTATAAGGAGAAGAGATGGAGGAGGAGGAGGAGGAGGAGGAGGAGGAGGAGGAGGAGGAGGGAGCGAGAGCGAAGAAGGAAGAGGCGGAGGAATAAGTGGGAGGGGGGAAGAGGCAGAAGGGGAGAGGGGGAATGGAGGAGGAGGAGGAGGAGGAGAAGGAGCGAGAGCGAGAGCGAGGCGGGATGAGAGAGAGGAGGTGGAGGACCAGAGCACAGAGCAAGCCCAGGATGCATCAGCGATGCTGCAACACGTATGCCCTCCCTTCCCAAGTCCCCTTTTTCGTAATAGATCCCTACAGGCCTTCCGTTTCGCTGTAAGAAGCGCACCCCTGAATGAGCAGCACCCCATGGGCTTGCCATTCAGGCGCGAGCACCGCTTTGAAGAGGAGTTGTATTGGCTCCTTCTGGTCGGCAGTAAAGGAAACGAAAATGTATGATCACACTTTACCAAACATGTTCACTGATGCCCATTCGCTTCGAGGACGCCTCAAGCGAGTTCCCCCGCTTGACAAGGAGCCGCCTTCCACCCGCGTTGGTGCTTCGTAGTTTAAGTTCCCCTTCTCGAAAGTTCAGGAGGGAAGAAACACACAGACACAAGTAATCGTCGATCCCTCGGATTATATAGGAAAATCTGGGAAGTGGAGGGGAAGACGAAATTCCAGGAAAAGATTTGGAATATTGGGAACATTGGGACGTGTGCCTATTGATTTGTGTACGTCCATGGGCCCCATTCAAGAGTGCACGTTGCCTCAAGCGGAAGCCGCATTTGGAAAAAAGACGAGTGCGCATGGCGCAAAGGCGGGAGCTTCATTTTGAAAATGAGGTGTGTTGTCTCTGTATTGCATGTGCCGCGAATGGTGATCACGAGTGCGCGCAGCGCTGAGGTGCGGCTCCGCTTTGAAAACGGCCCACCCTCCATCGTTGCAAATGTCCTGGTTGTCAAGTCTCCCAGGCTTCAGGATCATAACTTGTGAGGCGCTATCAGACGAAACATTTTGCCCGATTTGCCGACACCTCTGGTGGCCAGACCAGGAGGAGCTGAATACCAGAGACGAGGGGAGGAGGGGGATGGAGAAGGAAGGAGGAAGAAAGAGGAGAGAGGTGGTAGAGGAAGGTCGAGGAGGATATCGATGCAGCTGATGCGAAAGCCTGCACGCCAGGAGGAGGAGGACGAGGAGAGGAGGGAGGAAGGGAGTAGAAGAAGGAGGAGGAGGGAAGAGGGAGGAGGGAGGTAGAGGAGGAGGAGGAGGACGACGACGAGGAGAAGGAGGAGGGCAAGGGGGAAGGAGGACGAGCACAGCGAAGAGAAGGAAGAAGGACTAAAGGAGGAGGAGGGAGGTTCCAGGGGTGGGCTCCACGCATGGTTTTGCATAATGAGCTGCGTTCGGATGGCTGCGCGTGGTGCTTGATCTCATATTATGTTGTGGCCCAGGACAAGTGGGAGGAGGAGGCTGAGGGAGGACATATGAGGAGGAGGAGGAAGAAGAAGAGGGAAGAGGAGGAGTGGAGGGGGAGGACGAGCAGGAGGAGGAGGAGGAGGAGGAGGAGGAGGAAGAGCAGTACCAGCAACAGCAAAAACAAATAAGAAACAGACGATAAGCGATAAGCACGAGGAGGTGGGGGCAGGAGGAGGAGAGGGGGGCGAGGAGGAGCAGGAGGATGAGCAGGATGAGGAATAGGAGTTGGAGCACGATGAGGAGGATAAGAAGGAACATAAGTTCGAGAACCTCCAGCAGGAGAAGACGGAGGGTGATAAGGATGAGGAGGCGGAGCATGGAAGGGAAGGGGAAGGGAGGATGAGGAGGAGGACAACGAAATCTGCACTGATCGTCCGTTCCTATTTATTTCTCACAGTGGGGCACTGAATCATGATGGTCGATCTTCCGTTCAAGCATGATTGTTCTTCGCCGGCACTCCTCTTAGCTGTCATAAACGACACGGACACGTCGATCACACTCCACCTGTGGCCCACTCATGATGCATCCCGTTCTCTTCCGCATGCCTCCCTCGACTGCTCCCGCGCTTCTTCATGCCATGGCATCTCCCATCGTGTATTCGCTCTTCCTGATCGGACTCGTCAGGGAGCCTCCTGCCGCATCGTCCGTCCCCTCCCCTGCCCCTCTCGCGAGGCCACCGGAGAGCCAAGCGGGCGAAGCCAGCATCAAGAATCCTGATCCCGTGCAGGCACATCAGGTCGACCCCGTGGGTTGCAAAGGCGCCGCAGGCTTCGCCGTGGCACACCGACGCAGCATCCAGCAGCATCGCCGGGCACGTGATTCGTCGACTGGCAGCAGCTGCCCAGACCACAGCGGCCAGAAGCCTCGGTCGCCATCCTTCTCCTCATCCTCACCCTGGCTGCGTGACCCTCGTCTGCAGTGGGGGCGTTGGTTCAGGAATGTGCCCAGGAGGCTTCAGACCCCGAGGGGGTCCTTATCTTATCTGACCAGGGCGGCAGTGGCATCCATGGCCAACCCAGTGGCCAGACGGACTCCAGCGCTTGCCGCGGAATGGTGCAGACGAGGTGGCACGACGGGGTCGAGCTCACACGCCGAGCGATTTTGCCGCCCGTGGAATTCGCTTCGAGGTGCGGAACGTGAGTGAGGCGTATTAGTCTTGGCGTGTCAGTCATCTGTGTGCTAGCAGCGTGCTGTGCCGTGTGGCATTGCAGTACTCGGGCAGCTTTCCGCCCCATTTCAGCTTCAGTTTCAGTTTGTTTGAAGGTCCACCGGCTTTCAGACCCTGCACTCTTTATCCAGTGGTTCTTTATCCCTTCGCATCGCGTGTACGTTTTTTTCTCGGCGGGGACCATCGAGGAGCATCCCACGTCATCTTGCGAAAAACCGCAAACGAAATCGAAACATGCACGGGGAATGACCGTCCGAGCGATGGCAAGTCTCCAGTGCCCTCACCGCACCTGTCCGCACGCCTGGCCTGCCGTGGCAGCTGGCCCCACCCCCCCGAGCTCCGGAGGATCCTGGCGTCGAGGGCGGCCAGGACCGGCTTATTCTGGGTCTGCTCAAATTCCCGAGGGTGCAGACGGAGCAGGGGGAGGAGGAGAGAAGAGTGAAAGGAGGAGGAATAGGAGGAGGAGGAGGAGGAGGAGGAGGAGGAGGAGGAGGAGGGGGAGGAGGAGGAGGAGGAATAGGAGGAGGAGGAGGAGGAGGAGGAGGAGGAGGAGGAGGAGAGGAGGAGGATAGGAGAGGAGGAGGAGGAGGAGGAGAGGAAGAGAAGGAGGAGGAGGAACGCAGGGAGGACGAGGAAGAAACGAGGAGAGGAGGGAGATGAGGAGGAGGAGGAGGAGGAGGAGGAGGAGGAGGAGGAGGAGGAGGAGGAGGAGGTCAGAGGAGGAGGAGGAGGTCCCCGTACTGCTACCCGTCGCCCGTTTTCCTCTGTGTCGGCCTCTTGGGGGGCCGTCGTCGCCACCGCTGGATTCGCCTTGAAGTCGTGGTCAGAGCGTACTCCGGGAGAGGTCTGGGGAGTAGCGGTATCGGTACCTAGTGGTTTCCCCAGGAGGGGGGAGGAGACGAGAGAAGGGGGATTCATCAGCAGGAGGAGAGGGGGAGGAGACGAGGGAAGGGGGAGGAGGAGAGTCGTTCCATGCCCTCATCTTCCGCGCCTGGTGGCCTGGCTGCTGGTCCTCGTCGTCTCCTTGGTGCTGGGAGGGTGGAGTGGTGGTGGTGGTGGTGGTGGTGGTGGTGGTGGTGGTGGTGGTGGTGGTGGTGGTGGTGGTGGTGGTGGTGGTGGTGGTGGTGGTGGTGGTGGTGGTGGTGGTGGTGGTGGTGGTGGTGGTGGTGGTGGTGGTGGTGGTGGTGGTGGTGGTGGCGGTGGTGGTGGTGGTGGTGGGAGACCTCTCGCTCTTGCTTGCTTGCCCATCCACCCCACGAGCGCGCACGAAGGGCGC